TGTGGACCAAGTTTTCAGAAAGCACCATTATGTGTTGATTGGTGCATTTTTCGTTCTCGTTAGCTGACCCTATAAATCACCCTTTTTTAATAGAAAATGTTACGGTTTTCATTGTATCAGTTGTAAACAAAAACATTTTTATATCTGGATGTTTTTTTTCACTAAACCTGAGTTTTGATGCTGATAAGAAATGGTAAAAATATCTGCAACAAAATCTACTTTTTTGCACGAATCGATAAATTATTATTTTTGGAAATTTTCTAACTAATACAGTGGTATATAATAAAGTGCTTTAAGCATTACTTTAAGAAGGTAAATAATAATGTTGACTGTGTCCAACCAAAATTATCTATCTGTCATTTCCGTCTCGAAGATCCGGCGACACTGGATTACGAACACGTGGTTTTCAAGGGATTTTTGGTTTGATTTATTTGGTGACTAACATAATGTCGTTTGTAAAGTAAAAAAAAAATAAAAAAACACAATTGTATAATGGCATATTATGTACCAAATTTTATAAACGCCATTTTAGTCATGAATTCAATCTAGGCACGAGCGAGCTTGCGAGCGAGTTTTTAATTAAATGAGTGCGTAAAAATGTTTATAAACGAGTTGCATACTATAGTTTTTCTACGACAAATACTTAATATTATCTAAAAAATAATTTAAATTAAATATTTGTACAAAAAGACTTATATACGAAAATAAAGTAACCATCGCAATAAACATTTTTGGCGTAATTTTCACCATTAACATTGCCCGTTATTATTTTAATTAAACATAATATTAATTAAAGCAATTTATTTTAACGATTTTATAACATAACTAACTTAAAACTAACTTCAGCCACTGACTAAAGCGCCATAAAGCCACAACTTGTCAATGTTTATTTAAAAGGTCACTTAGTGTCATGGAAACATAACGATAATGTTTTCTTCTGTTTGTTTTCTGTGAGAAAAAAGGAGCCTGTTACTCTCCGGCCTATGTCTATGCAAAAAATCACGTCGATCCGTTGCTCCGTTGCTGCCTGAAAGGCAAATATATAATAATATATTATTATATTCTTTTAGGATATTTTTAAAACAAATTGTGTTTTTAATACTTTACTGTATTAAAAAAAAGTACAAATACTTAATTAACAATACAAAAAATATAAACATTACTATCTAACCATTCAAAATTGCTAGAATGATTATAACCACAAAATCATCACAAAATCTCTTCTATGATACTTTCTTCTGTAATGTCTGCTCATTCGGTGTTATCTAATAAAAGAAGTATATAAATATTATTCGTATGGTTAAACATTTTGTAAATTGCTTATAAAAAATGCAAACGTGTATAAAGTTTTTAAATTTTTATAATTTACCTGCCATCTTTGAGATTACCAAAATTAAATGTAATATTTTCTCTTAAAATGAATTAGTCAAGAATTACTAGTCACTGTCATAGTGAAAAAGCAGCGACTCGTAAACGTAGTCCAGAGCAATTTGTACTTTGGAAAGTTATATAAGAAACAGTTTTCGAGATAATCAATTTTCCATTAAATATGGAATTAAGAGATCTCAAAAACTGCCTTACTTTCATAACTTTTGGATTTTTGGATTCAGCGGACAATTTTACATAGAAATTAAGTGTTAAATATCTGGAATACAAATTGCTGTGGACTACAATAATTAGTGGCTGCTTTTTCACTATTTTTTTACTAATTAATTTTAAGATAGCACATTTAAAATACTATTTATTTTGTGTTGTCTTAATTTATTTGAAACGAAATTTTAATATACAAACTAGTTTTGACCTTAATATATATCTATCTATCCTATTTTGGAGGATTATTCACCAGTTTTATAAGCGCTTCAGTGGAGAAGGATTTCGGTCTCTCGATGGGCAATCCGTAGGCCCTGTCCCAAATAAGAGAGGGCAGCACTCCCAACGCACGCGATACGCCGAAAAGTACAGTGTAGAATTGCATTTCTTTCATGCCGTAATGATACAAAAGTACACCGGAGTGAGCGTCGACATTTGGCCAGGGATTCTGAACTTTGCCAAGCTCTTTGAGAATCGGAGGAACAACCTTGAAAACCAAACCGCACAGGGCTACCAGAGAATCATTTTTAATGTAATTATTTGCGAACTTAGCCTGGCATACAAAACGTGGATCTGTTTTTCTCAGTACAGCATGGCCATAACCAGGTACTACTTGCCCAGACTTCAAAGTCTTCCAGGTGAATTCCTTTAATTTTTCTTCGGTAACATTTTCACCAACTTCTTTTTGCACTTTTTGAAGCCACTCCAGCACTTCCTGATTTGCCCTGCCATGCAGAGGTCCCGCCAAACCGTTCATTCCCGCCGCAAAAGACAAATAGGGGTCGCTCAATGCCGAACCCACCAAATGAGTTGTATGGGCGGACACGTTTCCACCCTCGTGATCGGAGTGTATGACCAAATACAACCTCAAAAAATCAATGAAATCTTTATTGTCATAACCCATCATCTTGGCGAAGTTTAAACTGTAATCGACATTTTCGTCTACATCGCACAAGGGACGATTACTATTCTTAAAACATTTCGCGTAAATGGACCCAGCAATGACAGATAGTTTGGCCACCAAATTCATGGAATCCTCGTAAACATACTCCCAGTACTGGGTTTTCAGGATATTTTTAAAACAAATTGTGTTTTTAATACTTTATTGTATTAAAAAAGAGTAAAAAAAACTTAATTAACAATACAAAAAATATAAACATTACTATATAACCATTCAAAATTGCTACAATGATTATAATCACAAAATCATCACAAATTCTCTTCTATGATACTTTCTTCTGTACTATCTGCTTACTCGGTGTTGTCTAATAAAAGAAGTATATAAATATTATTCGTACATACGGTTAAAAATATTGTAAATTGCTTATAAAAAATGCAAACGTGTATAAAGTTTTTACATTTTTATAATTTACCTGCCATCTTTGAGATTAACAAAATTTAATGTAATCTTTTCTCTTAAAATGAATTAGTCAAGAATTACTAATTGTCATAGTGAAAAAGCAGCGACTTGTAAACGTAGTCCAGAGCAATTTGTACTTTGGAAGAAAATGTCTTTAAAAGTTATATAAGAAACAGTTTTCGAGATAATCAATTTTCCATTAAATATGGAATTAAGAGATCTCAAAAACTGCCTTACTTTCATAACTTTTGGATTTTTGGATTCAGCGGACAATTTTACATAGAAATTAAGTGTTAAATATCTGGAATACAAATTGCTGTGGACTACAATAATTAGTGGCTGCTTTTTCACTATTTTTTTACTAATTAATTTTAAGATAGCACATTTAAAATACTATTTATTTTGTGTCGTCTTAATTTATTTGAAACGAAATTTTAATATACAAACTAGTTTTGACCTTAATATATATCTATCTATCCTATTTTGGAGGATTATTCACCAGTTTTATAAGCGCTTCAGTGGAGAAGGATTTCGGTCTCTCGATGGGCAATCCGTAGGCCCTGTCCCAAATAAGAGAGGGCAGCACTCCCAACGCACGCGATACGCCGAAAAGTACAGTGTAGAATTGCATTTCTTTCATGCCATAATGATACAAAAGCACACCGGAGTGAGCGTCGACATTTGGCCAGGGATTCTGAACTTTGCCAAGCTCTTTGAGAATCGGAGGAACAACCTTGAAAACCAAACCGCACAGGGCTACCAGAGAATCATTTTTAATGTAATTATTTGCGAACTTAGCCTGGCATACAAAACGTGGATCTGTTTTTCTCAGTACAGCATGGCCATAACCAGGTACTACTTGCCCAGACTTCAAAGTCTTCCAGGTGAATTCCTTTAATTTTTCTTCGGTGACATTTTCACCAACTTCTTTTTGCACTTTTTGAAGCCACTCCAGCACTTCCTGGTTAGCCCTGCCATGCAGAGGTCCCGCCAAACCGTTCATTCCAGCCGCAAAAGACAAATATGGGTCGCTCAACGCCGAACCCACTAAATGAGTTGTATGGGCGGACACATTTCCACCCTCGTGATCGGAGTGTATGACCAAATACAACCTCAAAAAATCAATGAAATCTTTATTGTCATAACCCATCATCTTGGCGAAGTTTAAACTGTAATCGACATTTTCGTCTACATCGCACAATGGACGATTACTATTCTTAAAACATTTCGCGTAAATGGACCCAGCAATGACAGATAGTTTGGCCACCAAATTCATGGAATCCTCGTAAACATACTCCCAGTACTGGGTTTTCAGGATATTTTTAAAACAAATTGTGTTTTTAATACTTTATTGTATTAAAAAAAAGTAAAAAAAACTTAATTAACAATACAAAAAATATAAATATTACTATCTAACCATTCAAAATTGCTACAATGATTATAATCACAAAATCATCACAAATTCTTTTCTATGATACTTTCTTCTGTAATATCTCCTTATTCGGTGTTATCTAATAAAAGAAGTATATAAATATTATTCGTATGGTTAAAAATATTGTAAATTGCTTATAAAAAATGCAAACGTGTATAAAGTTTTTACATTTTTATAATTTACCTGCCATCTTTGAGATTAACAAAATTTAATGTAATCTTTTCTCTTAAAATGAATTAGTCAAGAATTACTAATTGTCATAGTGAAAAAGCAGCGACTTGTAAACGTAGTCCAGAGCAATTTGTACTTTGGAAGAAAATGTCTTCAACAGTTTTCGAGATAATCAATTTTCCATTAAATATGAAATTAAGAGATCTCAAAAACTGTCTTACTTTCATAACTTTTGGATTCAGCGGACAATTTTACACAGAAATTAATACAAATTGCTATGGACTACAATAATTAGTGGCTGCTTTTTCACTTTGAAAACTAGTTATTTTTTACTAATTAATTTTAAGATAGCACATTTAAAATACTATTTATTTTGTGTTGTCTTAATTTATTTGAAACGAAATTTTAATATACAAACTAGTTTTGACCTTAATATATCTATCTATTCTATTTTGGAGGATTATTCACCAGTTTTATAAGCGCTTCAGTGGAGAAGGATTTCGGTCTCTCGATGGGCAATCCGTAGGCTCTGTCCCAAATAAGAGAGGGCAGCACTCCCAACGCACGCGATACGCCGAAAAGTACAGTGTAGAATTGCATTTCTTTCATGCCATAATGATACAAAAGCACACCGGAGTGAGCGTCGACATTTGGCCAGGGATTCTGAACTTTACCAAGCTCTTTGAGAATCGGAGGAACAACCTTGAAAACCAAACCGCACAGGGCTACCAGAGAATCATCTTTAATGTATTTATTTGCGAACTTAGCCTGGCATACAAAACGTGGATCTGTTTTTCTCAGTACAGCATGGCCATAACCAGGTACTACTTGCCCAGACTTCAAAGTCTTCCAGGTGAATTCCTTTAATTTTTCTTCGGTAACATTTTCACCAACTTCTTTTTGCACTTTTTGAAGCCACTCCAGCACTTCCTGATTTGCCCTGCCATGCAGAGGTCCCGCCAAACCGTTCATTCCCGCCGCAAAAGACAAATATGGGTCGCTCAACGCCGAACCCACTAAATGAGTTGTATGGGCGGACACATTTCCTCCCTCGTGATCGGAGTGTATGACCAAATACAACCTCAAAAAATCAATGAAATCTTTATTGTCATAACCCATCATCTTGGCGAAGTTTAAACTGTAATCGACATTTTCGTCCACATCGCACAAGGGACGATTACTATTCTTAAAACATTTCGCGTAAATGGACCCAGCAATGACAGATAGTTTGGCCACCAAATTCATGGAATCCTCGTAAACATACTCCCAGTACTGGGTTTTCTTGACACCGCTTGCGTAGGCTTTTGCAAATGTACTTTCAGAGTTTAAAATCGAAATTACAGCTGAAAATTGCGACATGGGATGCACATCTTTCGGGATTTTTTCCATAAAGTCGTAGCAATAGTCTGGCAGAGCCGACCTACAAGCCCACTCTTTGGATACCGCGTCCACTTGAGCTTGGTTGGGGATGTCTCCTGTTAGAAGTAACCAGAAAATGCCTTCTGGGATTGGTTGAGTTGCACCTACACAAAATTCTTATTATTAATTTGTTTTAAAGAACATTTCATAGTACCTTTAGCTTTGGGTAATTTCTCTTCGCATTCTGGGATGGAGTAGCCTCTGAATCTGATACCTTCATTTGGATCCAAAACAGATGTTTCGCAAATTAAAGCTTTAATACCCCTCATACCATTGTAAATCATGTTCACCGTAACATCACCAACAACTTTGGTGCCCTGTGTTTTACGAAACTCCTTTACTTGCTCCACAGCTTTTGGTATTTTACTGGCAAAAACTTCTTTTAAATCTGTCGAAGAACTGTACTGACATTTAATGAGTTTGTATAGGATCTCTTTCTGGTTTAAGATCTTTGTTAGGCCGTTCATTTTTAGAATTTTGGATGACGATGATAAATTAAGACAAGCACAATTTTTATTAAATGTCAAATTGTGACAATATACATGTACTTCATACTATGACATAGGTACTATCACAATACTCGTACTAATTAATTTAATTTAATTAATTTAAGGTTATTTTATAACCCACAAATTGACATTTGACAGCCCTGATAGAATAAGGTTTATTTTTTACAAAAGAGGAGTAAAATGATTGTTCTTACCACTTTGAGGTCTCTTTTAAGGCTTGCAAGTCTCTCTGTAAGAAACACAACGTTTAAAACGATTATTAATCTGTACAAACCTAAAGCACAAGAATTGTAAACAACAAAAATGGCCGCCATTGTATGATGTGCAGTGTTGCAGTGGGTACTATAATAGTACCCACAATCTACACAACAAGGTCTGTTCTATCTCGAACTAAAAATCACTGCAACACTGCACATCATACAATGTATAGTAATACTATATTATATTAATATGTATAAAACTACTATATTATATTAAGTACAACAATGTTTAAATCTCAAAGTAAAGATTTCACTAAATCCTTTTAGCAACATTCCCTACAATAAAATATACAGTGTGTATCAGACAAATGGAATAAATCGATAGTATTATATTGTATTTACATAAATAGAGACGTGTTCCAAAAAACGCTGCCCATTTTTTTCCACAAAAACTTTTTTGTACAGGGTGTTGTAAAGTGTAGGGTAGCAGTGGCCAATACCAACTTTTTTAATTCAAATGCAACACCCTGTATATTATTCAGTTTTTGGCTTATTTAAAAAATTGTAAACATATTTTATGTACAATGTCTTATCTTTAACTGTTTCGGAAATATTAAAAAATTAAGATAAAAGAACGATAATTATAATTATTTAATTACAGAAATTCGCTACAACACACTGAAAAACTGTTAATACTGTTTATTTCTTGATAGTGTAATAACCAAAAAAATATTAATTATTAATTACCTATATACACTTTCACCCACCCCTTATCATCGGTTTGACCCTTCTCGTCCTTCGAAAACTGCGAATATAGTACTTAAAGACTTGACACTTCACTAACATATCATTAAAATCGAAACATTCAAACAAAATCTGTGAGAAAATTCCGATACTACACAGTAGGCTGGCCCGAAATAATTATTTTTGGAAATCTCACTTGCCTTAGTTAAAAAAAGTAGTAAGAAGGGTATTTGTATAAGCTGTTTTTTTTTAATTTTTAAAAATAATTTTAGCCGCGCCCCCGGGGGATTGAATGTTTTTAAAATTAAGATAATTTTTTTTAACTTACATTTTGAATTTGGCATTTTAAAAAACTATAACTCACTTGTAAAACAAAAAAATCCTATTAATATATTTTAAGCCCCGCCCCAAAGCTTTTAAAGTTCTAATCTTCGATTAAAAAAAAAGCCGTGGGGCACAGTGTAAAATTAAAATATATAAATATTTTTTTTGTGTAAGTTAATAGCTAATAGTTTTTTGATATGCCAAATTCAAAATTTAACTTTGAAAAATATTTTTTTATTGAATTTTAAGAAATTTTAACCCCTCGGGGGCGCGGCTAAATCGTCACCTGAGAATTATAGTGTTCTATCTGCATTTTCTTTTTTTATTCAGGTTAGTCTTGTTTTAAGTCTTAAAGATGATATTGATCTATCTATATATAATTGGGGTAGAAATTGTAAAGTTTAAGGTTTAAACTGTACAATTTCTACCCCAATTATATATAGATAGAACAATATGCATCTTTAATACTTAAAACAAGACTAACCTGAATAAAAAAAAGAAAATGCAGATAGAACACTATAATTCTCAGGTGACGAAATTTGTTTTTAAAAATTTGAAAAAAAAAACAGCTTATTTGTGTATCCTTCTTACAACTTTTTTTAACTAAGCCAAGTGAGATTGCCTTTTTCGGCCCAGCCTACAAAGGGCTTCAGCACTATTTAGAGCGCGCAGAATTGTGCTCAGACTCTGATAACACCCAATATATTTGTTTCCTATAATAAAATATAAATGCATTTTTTTCATTTTCAATTGGCCATTTAGGGCGCTTTATTTTTTAATTTTTGACCAATATTGGACTAGTACAAATTGCAAATTGCAAATATTTTAAGGTGTGATGTAGCAGCTTGTTAGTGGCAGGAAATTAAAATCAAGAAAAAACTTTTATTGAGAATGAAATTTTTTAAGAAATGTAATAGTTATTTATGTATCAAGGCAGTAAAGTCGTATTTTTTATCACGAATGTGGAAATTATTTGCAGAGGCGAAAGCCGTGGCAAATAACATGCATGTGAGTGATAAAAAATGACACATAATAATAATTAATACTGATGATCAAATCAAATGTCATTTGAATGGTGAAAGTATCCACAATCCACACAACAAGGTATAAAAATACTAAAAATCACTGCAACACTGCACACAGTTTAACGGCGGCCATTTTTGTTGTTTACAATTCTTGTGCTTTGGGTTTGTGCTGTTTAATAATTGTTTTAAACGTTGTGTTTTTTATAAAGGCACTTGTAAGCCTCAAATTAAGTGCTGACAACCATTTTACTCCTCTTTTATTAAAAATATACCTTATTCTATCAGAGCTGTCAGATGTCAATTTGAAGGTTAATTTGTAGGTTATAAATTAACCTTAAAATTGACATTTAACAGTTTGATGACAACTCTGGTAGAATAAGGTTTATTTTTACAAAAAAGGAATAAAATGGTTGTTCTTAGCACTTTAAGGCCTCTTTTAAGGCTAACAAGTGCCTTTGTAAGAAACACAACGTTTAAAACGTTTAATAATTTGTATAAACAGAGCACAAACCCAAAGCACAAAAATTGTAAACAACAAAAATGGCCGCCGTTAAACTCTGTACAGTGTTGCAGTGATTTTTAGTATTTTTAGTACGAGATAGAACAGACCTTGTTGTGTGGATTGTGGAAGTATCTACGTATACTGTTTGTTGCGACGGTTATGATATATTTTCCGGCAGCGGCGATTTTTTAATCTAATTAATAAAATTAACTAATTATTTTTATTAAACAACATTTGGGTCCATGAAAGGGTCCAATCCACCTCCGCGACTGTGCTTTTTTTTTAAATATTATTTAGTTGCTGCTGAGTACCAGTAGAAACATCTTAAAATATATAAAGCGTTGCATACAATACTCGTATTTTGGATAAAATAATTTTGTAGCACTATTTATCACCCTATACAGGATGTCACCAAATAGGTTGTCATCCTTTAAGGGAATGGTGAAGCGATCTGCCCCATGATTAATTTAACAAATATTTTTTTCTCCAAAGAAAATAGCCAGTTCAGACAAATACTAAAATAATAATTGTAATTATTCTAAAAACTTAGCAGGTAATATTTTTTGTTTTTGAAAGATCATGTCAACCATTTGAAGGTTGTATTATCGATTGTTGGTGTATACTTTATATTATACACAGTGTGTGAGGTAAAAAATTGTTGAAACTTCATTTAAAATAAATAAAGAGAATAGAGAACTTCTTATCGTTGCTTGAAAGCGGGTTGTTTGTTATGCCCGAACGGGAAGCCATCAACAAAGGGGGGAAGTTGCTTAAACTTGTTATCTGTAATGGCTTCGAAGTATTGGCCGCTCTGCAACAGATAATTCGAGTTGAAAAACTTTCTTTAAATTGCTAACAGCGTTTTACAACACAGTTACATAATTTGCCAGACCACAAACTGTGCTACCTCGTTTGCTAAAACTCTTTAGTAAAGTTAGGAATAACATTTTTTAATTAATTATTATATTGAGTTAAAATGTATGTACCAGGACTTCAGAAGGAAGGCAGAAGTCTTACTCGACAAATTTTGTTCAATTGCACAGCTAAATCGCGCACGTTATTTGTGTTACTCGATTTCGATTGATTCGATTGATTATAATAATTATTCTTTATATCATTGATTAAGAAACTCTACGCTTAAATGCTTATATAGTTACGTTAGTGTGTGTATTTTATCTAAGGGATTATGATGAATTATTGTGTTTTTAATTGTAAATAAAATTCAAAACTAAATCGTTGCATTTTCATGTTTTGCCAAAGGATCCAATTCCGTAAGTACATTTGTTGGTGCAGAATTAACTAATGATAACTTTACCTAATCTAATTTATATTTAAGTTTGGACATTTTTAATAAATTAGTAAAAAATAATTTTTGCACAAACATAACCTTAAAATCAACCATTTTTATATTTGAGTTCTCTAAAAAACGCCGACAACTGCATTTTAAACAACAAAATATACCTACGAATTCATGGCAACATAATATTATTTATAATACCGCGGCTGGTGGATTTTGGGCACACCCATATCTCAGTTATTAGGCATGGGACCCACATCAAATTTTTATGAGTTTATAATGACATTATATAGACAAGTTCTGCGCAAGCAGAATTCAAATTGAAGTTTACGAAAAAAAGTTAGTTTTTAAGTGTGCCCCCCCAGCCTCCTGCCCCCAAATTAAGATAATTTTAATTAAAGTGGTACAATATTTAATTCACTGAAGTTTATTGACAAATTTCAAATTTTATTAAAAAAATTCAAGTATTACAGATTTTATACCATTTCTATTTTTTTTTTAATTTAGTTAAAGAAATAATAATGCGTTTGTAACACACGCGTTTGACAGCTGATTATCAAAAGTGGTACTTTTGTTACGATGATAACAGCCGAGTGGTGGCGCTACTAGCGATACTTCTCGTATTGGCAATTTTATGAATTTTGTGAAACTTGACACCTAAGATCAGTTTTTCGAGTGCCACAGCTACAAAATTCTATATTCTTATATTTTATTTTATATTGCGTAACCCTGAATAGGCTTTATATTAATTACAATTCAAAATTAAACTAATAGTAGATTTTGTAGCCGTGGCACTCGAAAAACGGATCTAAGATGTCAAGTTTTACAAAATTCATAAAAATGACTATCAAGGTCACGTTTTGATTTTCTGGTTAGTCATGAGTTGGTCTATCAGTCCTGGACGGTAGATGGGG